TAAAATAAATACATGTGTGAATTGGTTTCTGTTATTTAAACTTCACGATAGAGGTGAAATACTCTTCAGTAACTTTTTTTTTTTTTGGCTAGGGCCGGGTTTGAACCCGCCACCTCCGGTATATGGGGCCGGCACCCTACTCCTTTGAGTCATAGGCACCACCCGTCATCAGTAACTTTTAAAATAATGCTAATAGGCTCAGTGCTTGCGGCTCAGCAAATAGGGCGCCAACCATGTATACCGGAGCTGGTGGGTTCAAATCCACCCTGGGCCTGCCAAACAACAATGACAACTACAGCCAAAACAAACAAACAAACAAAAATAGCCAGGCATTGTGGTGGGTGCCTGTAGTCCCAGCTACTTGGGAGGCTGAGGCAAGAGAATTGCTTAAGCCTGAGTTTGAGGTTGCTATGAGCTGTGACATCACTGCACTCTACCAAGGGCAACATAGTGAGACTCTGTCTTTTAAAAAATAATAATAATGTTAATAATATTCTAGTCATGGTTTTAGACAGTCATAAACAGATTAATCTCTCCTTTAGATTTTCTTTTAAATTCATTATACTCTTTTTTTTTTTTCCCAGCTACCTTGACAAGTTATTCTGAAAATGTGGAACGCACAAAATATGTTGGGGAAAGCAGTAAGGAATTAGGATCTGGAGGAAACCTGAAACCGTGGCAGTCTCAAAAATCCAGCATGGACTCCTGTTTGTATCGAGTGGATGAAAACATAACTGCTTCCACTTATAGTCTGAATAAGATCCCAGAGAGGAATTTGGAAACAGTTCTGTCTCAGTCGGTACAATCAATTCCTTTGTATCTTATGCCACGGCCAAATTCAGTAGCAGGTAAGGGTTTTTTTTTTTTTAATAATCATTTTATTGAAGAATATATTGAAATGAAAATAAAGCCTGCTGTATAACAGTATTTATGTTTTCTGTTCATCTTGTTTGACTAAGTTGTTCTTTTGTGTTTGGATAATGTATGTGTGTACGAGGTCTAACACTTAAGTTAGTAAATTCATCCTAGAAAAGGTGCCATATACCTCATTGCTGAATAACACTACAGTCACCTTCCAAGCACTCCGCTTGGGAAGCTCTGCATGATGCCATCTCCTAGTCCACACTTTAAAGCAATTTTAGAACTCTTTTTCTGGAATGGCCCATCAAAGCTGTTGTCATATTACCTTCGATGTCCTGATTGTCATGAAAATGTGTTTCTTTCAATATTGTCTTATCTTCGAATAAAGAAAAATGTCCGTTCTTAAAACAAGTTATCCATTTGTAAGCCACCAATTACTTTGGAGTATTGTCCCATTAAACTTTTTTTTTTTTTTAATACAGATACTTCCCTGAGGACCCTTAAACTTTCTGTAAAGCATTAATGATTTTACCATTTTTCTACCCAGGTTTCTCCATAAATTTGATGTTTGTTCTTCAATTTTAGCAGAATTCATATTGCTCTGGTGGGAACTCTTTTCAACTGATGCCTTATTATTCTTAGTGCCTCAAACTAGATCTTGTTCAGACATGTTGTAACAAGTTAGTATGACTTTATTTTAGTGCAAAAAAGTTTTGAAATCCAGGCGGCACCTGTGCCTCAAAGGAGTAGAGCGCCGGCCCCATATGCTGGAGGTGGCGGGTTCAAACCCAGCCCCAGTCAAAAATGGGGGAAAAAAAAGTTTTAGAATCTATGCATAGTTTATTCATAATGCACATTTTCCTTGGATTTTTGAAGTTATCTATATAAAAATCAACTGAGCTATACACTTATTTATGTATTTTATATTTGTAAATAATATGACAATTTTTTTAAAATACAAAATATATTTAGGCATTTAGGCCTCCCACCTTTCTAGAATTTTTTTTTTGTCTTTGGCTTAAAAATAGTAGTCTTAGAAATATAGCAAGATCTTTATCTGAAATATCTGTATTTAATATTGCTTAAAAATAACCTAATAGCTGGCTCTGCGCCTATGGCTCAAGCGACTAAGGCACCAGCCATGGACACCTGAGCTGGCAGGTTCAAATCCAGCCCAGGCCCGCCAAACAACAATGACAGCTGCAACCAAAAAATAGCTGGGCATTGTGTCAAGCACCTGTTGTTCCAGCTACTTGGGAGGCTAAGGCAGGAGAATCACTTGAGCCCAGGAGTTGGAGGTTGCTATGAGCTGCGATGCCACAGCACTCTACCCAGGGAGATAGCTTGAGGTTCTGTCTCCAAAAATAAATAAATAAATAAATAAAATAAAATAACCTAATAACTGCAACAAATGTAAAATTTACATAATGCATTCCATTTCATTCAGAGTATAAACCTAAATTGACCAAGTTTAACTTTCACCATAAATCAGTTTTAGAACATTTTCATCACACTGTTAAGATTCCTATGTCTATTTAATGCTAATCCCAATCTCAGGCAACCACTAATCTACTTTCTGACTCTAAATTTATATTTTCTAGACATTTTATATAAATGGAGTTGTACAATATATCATCTTTTGTGTCTGGCTTCTTTCACATAACGTAATGTTTTTGAGGTTTATATATGACATAGCATGTATCAGTATTTTTTTCCTTTTTATTGCAAGTAGCATTTCACCAAATGCCTGTACCACATTTTATCTGTTTATTCACCAGTTGATAGACATTTCAGTTGTTTCCAATTTGGTGCTTATTGTGATTAGTGCTTCTGTGAACATTTGTGCACAAGTCTTAGAGTAGATGTGTTTTATTTCTACAGTGTCATTTTAGTAGTAGAATCTGGAGTCATTAGGAGAATTGCTTGATGATATGGTAAATTTATCTTTAACTTTTTAAGAAACTGCCAAACTGTTTTCCAAAGTGGCTATACCATTTTACATTCCCACCAGTAATGTATGAGGGTTTGTGTTTCTACACATCCACTTCACTGTTTGTTACTGTCTTGTCTTTTATTATAGTCATTCTAAGCAGTTGTGAAATGCTATGTCATTGCGGTTTTAATTAGTATTTTCCTAGTGAATAATAATTTTTAAGGTTATTTTGTGCACCTATTAGCTATTCATATACCTTTTTAGCAAAATGTCTATTCAAACTTCTGCACTTTTTTGTATTGGGTTGTTTTCTTCTTGAGTTACAAGAATTTATTGTATAATGTGGATACAAGTCACATCAGATATGTCTTTGCAAAAGTTTTCTCCAACTCTTGTTTATCTTTTTACTTTGTTATTGATATATTGTGAAGCACAAAAATTTTGAATTGTGATGAGGTCAGTATACCAAATTTTTTGTTGTAATTTTTTTTATCTTTTTAATATAAAACATACTGTTTATATCAATTAATTTCTCCATGATTTTTGGAGCATTTGTTTTAGTGCAAGTATCAGAAAATATTTCCTCTACGCACTTAAATGTTTTCTCCCTCTTCTTCCCCTCTCACATATGAAAAAAATTCTAAGTTATCACATTATCCTAAGTTGTTGTGACTATAGACCTTAATTGTGGATAGTTTTTTACCTGCCATGGTTGTCATTCCATAATGGTAGCAGCTCTTGGATTCTTAAGCAGTACAGATCATGATTCTTTAAAGAAAGAGTAAAACGTAAATGTACCACCAGGTCAGATAGATATGGCCTGGAGAATAGGATTTTATACCGTTCAGAGAGTACATATTGACTGTGTTGAACAAAATATATCATCAGAAAATTATTTCTTCTCAGTGTTGAACGTAATGCAAACAGACCTACTGTTGCCAACAGGGCAAGTCTTAAGTCATAGTATAGTTTGTATTAGGTTGTTCTCAGTATGTAAAGACCATGGTTTCGTTGTGGTTACAAAGAGGCAGGAAAGTAAACTGTAAGCCAGTGACTCGGTTATTTTTAAAATTTAATAGATTGTAGTTTGAAAATGTTTCCAGAATGCAGAGAAATAAAATTATTTTAACAAGGAATTACAAAGGTGAACATATAATATAGGTAAATGTTTGGCAAAATCACAACCTCTTAGCTTAAATGATTTGATATCTAAATAATTTTTTAATTAAATTCTTGTAGTTCAGAAGGGTCTTTTTTTTTTTTTTTGAGACAGTCTCATTCTGTTGTCCTACCTAGAGTCCCACCATGTCATAGCTCACAGCAACCTCAAACTCCTGGGCTCAAGTGATCCTCTTGCTTCAGCTTCCTGAGTAGGTCAGACTATAGGCACCAGCCATAAGGCCAGCCAGTTTTCTGTTTTTAGTAGAGATGGAGTCTTGCTTTTGTTCAGACTGGCCTTGAACTCCTGAGCTCAAACAGTCCACCCTCCTTTGCTTCCCAGTGTGCTGGGATTACAGGCGTAAATCACCACGCCTGGCCTTCTCTTTTCTTTTTAACTCTAGATGTATATTTTACTTTCTAATAGGTACAAAGAATTGGTTCCCCAAACTGAGAAAACTCAAATACTCAAATGTCTTTGATAAATAGAAATAACTGAGGTTTTCAAATATGAAATGAACATGAAATGGGAAAAAAATCCAGTATAATTACATTTATCAAATTGTTCTAAGTGTCTGAACACAATGGGCAGAGATGGTGAGGATGACAAATGCCAATAATAAAAGGCTTTGTTCAAATCCAACGTTTTTTTTTGTTTGTTTGTTTTTGGTTTTTTTTTGAGACAGAGCCTCAAGCTGTCCCCCTGGGTAGAGTGCCATGGCATTACAGCTCACAGCAACCTCCAACTCCTGGGTTCAAGCGAGTCTCCTGCCTCCGCCTTCCAAGTTGCTGGGCCCACGGGCGCCCGCCGCAACGCCTGGCTATTTTTTGGTTGCAGCCGTCATTGTTGTTTGGCGGGTCTGGGCTGGATTCGAACCCACCACCTTAGGTGTACATGGCTGGCGCCTTAGCCGCTTGAGCCACAGGCACCGAGCCCAAATCCAACTTTTAAACTTCCCTTTTCTTTTTAAACTTACTCTCAGTCTGAGTAACATAATTGTTTCTTTTAGAGATCATATAAAGTTGTGAAAAATACCATTTGCATCACTTTTTAAAACCTGGGGGGTATAATTACTTACATGGTCCTTGCCATGTTACAGATTTCTCCCCACTGTAGGAAGAGAATCACCTTTTGCCTGTGCTCCTTGGCTTCTTTAGAAGACCACATTTTCTGACATGACCAAGAAAAGTGTCAAGGGATTTTTTTAAATAATTGAGGCTGCTGCTGGACTGAACTCTAAGGAATAAAACTCTTATAAAACCAAGACTCTTGATTTTAAAAAGAATAGAAAGGACTTGTGGCTTTTATGACACTTTTATTGTGGAAAAATGAAGTCAGCTCATATGCAGATGTTCATCATAAATTATTTTTAATTCTTTGACTGTGGAGCACTCAGAAACAAAATGTGCCAGTTGGGGCGTACAGTGATTACAACAACCATTATGATCCACAGCGCACTACTGGACATTCTTTGGTTTAATCAACATAATTCACTCAAATTGGTTTTGGTTTCAGTTTCAATATTACTTATATTTATAAAAAAGTAATATGCAAACAAATTTAATATGAAATGATAAAGCTTTGTCATAGCAATAAAAATTTAAATTTGAAATAGATTCTGCGCTTTCGTTTTCCAAATCAGATTCAGAAGTACTTGACCAGTTTACATTCTTTTGTGAGAAGTATTTTGAAAGCTACCTCTACGTTCACATTCTCCAACAATGATCAAGTCTTCTGAACTTGATGACTCTTGGAATTTATTATACTCCATATTTATATATATTCCCATAAGAATCCACTACTTGTACAAATTATTTCAGGCACACTGTGAAAAACATTGAGAATGAAGGTATGATACTCACAAACTCAAGTTTTTGTTTGCAAAAACAAGCAGC